CAATCCACTCACCTCGGCCTTCCAAAGTGCTGGGATTACAGGCTGAGCCACCGAGCCCGGCCGACACCATCTTTTTGGCTCCTCTAGAAGGGCGACATTCGTCAGCATTAGTCACCAAAATGTGAGACTACAAGTTTCTGAGATTTTTTTACTAAAATGCATTCCTCTCAGACATGACAGCCACAGATGCCCCTTTCTTTGCCCACATTTTTTCCCCTTTCCCGAATAAATGGCCTCACACCAGCTTCCCAGCACCGCCTTTTTCTCTATTGCTGATTCTTCTGCTTGTTTTTCTTTTTAATGCTGCAAATGTAGGCACTGTGGTTAGATTGAAATTGTAAAAATCAAAAAATGGTGACCAGAAGTTTAGATAACTGTCTGATGCTGCTTTGTTTTTTTAAGTCAGCGTCTCACTCTGTCACCCGTGCTGGGGTGCAGTGGCACGATCATGACCACCACAGACTTGACCTGCTGGGCTCAGGCGATCCTTCTGCTTCAGCCTTCCAAGTAACTGGAACTAATGACACATGCCACCACACCTGGGTAATCTTTTATCTTATTGTAGAGACGAGGTCTCACCATATTGCCCAGGCTGGTCTCGAACCTGTGGGCTCAGGCGATCCTCTTGCCTCAGCCCCTCAAAGTGCTGGGATTACAGGCGTGAACCACCTGTAATTCCAGCTTGTTGGATGCTTTTATGCCACTGGATTATACACTGATCAGCTGTCACTCTTCTGCTGGCAGCAGCCACGTGTGCTGTCCTGTGTGCCACTTACGATCTCTTACCCTGGCCAGGCCTTCCTCTGATCTCCCCCCATCCCCACCCTCCATGTTTCAGCATTCACTCCGTCTCACCTGACACCAGGACACTCCGTCCCACCTGACACTCAGTATCTCACTCTGGGATGCCATACCTTTCAACCTCAGTAAACTCTGTATTGATGGATAGCATGACCTTTTTAAATGCACAGATCCCGAGTGTGCAGCTGGATGAATCTCACCAGGTAAATCCATCTGTGTCCCCAGCACCCAGTTCAGAAACAGCATGGACTCCCCCCTTATTCCCCCACCCCCTCAGAAGAACTGGTGTCCTGATTTCTGACACTGTAGGTTGGTTTTGTCTGACTTGGAACCTTATATAAATGGAACCAGTCAGCACGGACTGTTTCTCAGTGTCATGTTTGTCTGTGCTTGTCTGTGTATTTGTGCCATGTGGCCAATGCATCTCCATTGCTAAATAGCACTCTGTGAGCTGGGTCACCCCGAGCCACTGCTGCGGGACGTCGGGGTTGATTAACACGAGTCATGCCGCCACCATCACTGTTGGGACACCATACTTTTTTGTTCGTTTATTTTTTGAGTTGGGGTGTCACTCTGTCACCCAGGCCGGAGTGTAGTGACACGCTCATGGCCACCACAGCTTCGACCTGCTGGGCTCCAGCCATCCTTCCGCGGCAGCCTTCCAAGTAACTGGAACTACAGGCACATGCCACCACACCTGGCTAGTTTTTGTGATTTTTTGTAGAGATGGTGTCTCACTAAGTTGCCCAGTCTGGCTTGAACCCATGAGCTCAGGCAGTCCTCTCACCTCGGCCTCCCAAAGCACAGGGATCGTAGGCGCAAGCGCCAGGCCTGAGACAACGTCCTTTTGACCACGTGGACCATAAACACCGTTCTTGGTGTGCATTTTCTCTCTTTCTCTACAGAACACTGTTGGAGAATGGCAAACCGTGTTCTGCATCGTGGCCGCTATTGACGTATTCGGTGCCATCTTCTTCACACTTTTTGCCAAAGGGGAAGTGCAGGCTTGGGCTCTCAGCGACCACCATGGACACCGACACTGATGGCAGCACAGCAGGCCTGTCTCAGCCATGCGTTTTTATTTATCACGCAGCCTAGAAGTGCCTTTGGTGTTTTCCTGTGTACGCATTCTATATTTAAAAATGGTATGAAATCTTTCAGGCTTATAGTCATGAAATGCCACTAGTTGCCAGATGAATGCAATTACCTGTTTTCGATGATTAACCACACATGAATGTACTGGAACTGAGACTTCAGATTCACATGGTGACCGTGGTCAGATGCCATGAAGTTGGGAAGCTCTGATCTTAAGGTGCATCCTTCAGGATCTGAACTGAAATGGACCCTACTGCCTTTGTCCAATTCAACTAGATAGTTCTCAGATATTGGTACGCACCCATTTTTGTCCACATTCCTCATCAAAATTATTTTTGAGCTCTGATGCTTAGGCCTCCAGTGTCGGGTCTCCGCAGGGCTGCCCGTGCTGTGTTGTTTGAGCTGGTGGCTGGGCAGAGGGTTGTGGCCTGGGAACTGCCCATCGCCCCGCCCAGCCTCAAGGGGAGTGTCTACACCCGGGGTTAGAGTCCCGCTTCGACCATGTTCTTCCTACAGGCTCCCGGCGCTCAGATGAGGCCCTGGGTGGGCACTGAGGTCTCTGCTGTGGTCTCCCTGTGTCTTCAGACTTTCCTGCCCAGCACGGAGGAATACTGACCTGGGCCCAGTCGCTAACGACACCATCCTTGCTTAAAACTACTTTGTTCCCTTCCCCCTTCCCACCCCCTGTCCCATGGCCCCCCCTCCTGCGGGCCTGAGTCTACATTTCCACCGTCTGTGCTTTCCAAACTGTACCATTTGCTTAAATTTAGCTCATGCTGTGTTCAGTCTGCCTTCACGTAAGCTTTTGGCTGCATTTCAGAGTTAAGGTGGCTTTCAGAGACCACATCCCGGAGACCTGGGAGACCTGGGTAATCGTGTTTGCTGCTGGTTCCCGAAATCCTGTTTTTCCTGTTTCTCCCTGAACCTGCTCTGGGACATCTGTGTGATTTGAAACTTGGTTTAAGTCTTGCTGTCTTGCTCAACACTACCTGTATGTGACATTTCAACTCAGACTGCTTACTGTAATATGATGTGAATACACTTATATAAATTTATTTTTAAATCTGTAAATAGCTTTAAGCTGCTATGGCGATATTTCTTTTATAAATCATCAAAATAAACCTTTGTGAATTTATTTTTGCACCTGGCAGCTCTGTGCTATTTTCTAGCGTCCATGGCAACTGTGGGGCATCTCTGCAGGGACCCCGGGGCCTCAGGGGTGCAGCCTGCGAAATCAGCCTGTGCTCCCCAGCTCAGAGTAGGTCCCTCTTCTGCTCAAGCGCGTACCTGCATCGATTCGGTCCTCTCCTGCTGCTTCTAAGGACTGGCTTCAGTATTCCTGTTTTTCTGAGTTTTTGTGTACTTTAATCATCGAGATAGCATTTTAAAATGCTCTGTGGCCCAGCTGGCCTTGGACTCCTGGACTCAAGTGATCCTCCCACCTCTGCCTCCTGAATAGCTGGGACTCCAGGCATGCACCACCACACCCCACTATTGTTTCTCCTTGATTTGTTTCTTCAGTCTCTTTTGTTCTTTTCCGCCTGTCTCAGAGACGCCTGCGCATCTCTCTCTTCATATCCTTAAACAAACAAAAAAAGTCTCCTGGGGACATTGTAACATAAATATACAGAATATCTCCAGGATAGTACTCCAGAAGCTGGAAACACAGTGTGATATCATGATACAGTTTGTTCCACCCATGGTTGCTGGCTCCTGCCTCCCACAGTTCTTGCTCTGCTGGGTGCCCCAGGCTTCGGAGAGCAGAGTATCTCCTTGATCTTCAACCACTCTACTCGCTCCCTCATCTCCTCACAGCAGGAATCTTCCTCACCTTTTTTTTTTTTTTTTTTTGAGTAGGAGTCTCACTCTGTCACCCAGGGAGCTCAGTGGCATGCTCACAGCCTCAAACTGCTGGACTCAGGTGATCCTTCCGCCTCAGCCTCCCAAGTAGCTGAAACTACAGGTGTGTGCCACCACGCCCGACTAATTTTTTCATTTTTTGTAGAGATGAGGTCTCACCAAGTTGCCCAGGCGGGGCCCGAACCCCTGGGCTCAGGCCGCCCTCCTGCCTCGGCCTGGGATTATAGGCTAAGCCACCGTGCCAGCTTCCTCCCCCGTCTCACCCGTCACAAACACCATAGCCCCAGTTTCCACTTGGTCCTGGAATGCTTTTATACCTTCCCCTCTCCCATCCCCTGTGCCGTGGTTCCCCCTCCCATGTCTAAACAACCACCTGCCTTTCCTGTTCTGGTTTTTTGTATCCCTCTGCCATCCCCTAAATAAGAGGCTCGTGGCTTTGTTTCCACCTGGAACTAAGAAGGTATGCAGTCTCACCACCTTCAGTCTGACCTCGGCTTCCCACCAGTGCCGAGCTAGTCCTCCAGTTTACCTCCTCTCCCCAGCTGGGTGCTCCCAGGTGAGCACCACATGTCCTGTCGGGGGCCCACCCAGACCCAGCCCCCACCCTCCTCTCCACCATGCCTGCAGCGTCACCCTGCACCTGCTAAAGTGCCCTCCTGGGGGCTGCGGATCCCCTTCTGCCTCACCTCTGCATGAGCCCCTGTCTCTCCCACTCTGCTGACCTTTCCTCTGACCCACTAAACACCATGTTATTTATTTACTTATTCCTTTATTTTAAACTCAAGGAGAGCCGGGTGCGGTGACTCACACCTGCAACCCCAGCACTTTGGGAGGTGGAGGCTAGAGGACTGCCTGAGTCCGGGGGTTTGAGACCAGTCTGGACAACTTGGCGAGACCTCGTCTCTACAATAAATCAAAAAATTAGCCGGACATGGTGGCACGTGCCATGGTTCCATCTACTTGGAAGGCTAAGGCTGAAGGATCGCCTGAGCACAGCAGGTCGAGGCTGCAGTGGCTGTGATCGTGCCACTGCACTCCAGCCTGGGTGACAGAGTGAGAACCCGACTCAAAAAATAGATAAACAAACTCAAGGACTTGGGTTCACTTATGTGGACGAGATCATTTCTTCCTTCATCCAACGAGTTTTAAGTGTCTACTCTTTGCCAGGCAGTAAGGGTGTGTGGATATACGTGACACGCCCTCCTCCCCGGGTGCAGTCTGGGCGGCTCCATTCTCCTCATGCTGCTAACACACCATCTGCGTTCACAGTCCTGGTCGAGTCCGCACAGGCAGGGTACCCCGTCAGCCTGGGCTTCTCCCTGACAACATGGGCCTCGTTCATTTCAGTTGCTTCACAAATAGTAGCCCTTTAGTTAAATGGACAATACATTGGCTTTTTTATCTCATATTTTCAATGTTTTCTTCTCCCCAAGAAATACTTAAATAAATATACCAATAGCTTTTTTTGAGTTGGAGTCTCACTCTGTCACCCAGGCTGGAGTGCAGTGGCACACTCTCGGCCACCGCAGCCTCGACCTGCTGGGCTCAGGCGACCCTTCCATCTCAGTCTTCCCAGTAGCTGGAACTACAGGCATGCGCCACCACGCCTAGCTAATTTCTTGTTTTATTGTAGAGATAAGGTCTTTGGCCCAGGCTGGTCTCCAACCCGCGGGCTCAGGCCATCCTCTTACCTCGGCCTCCCAAAGTGCTGGGATTATAGGCGTGAGCCACCACGCCCGCTGCCAACAGCTTTTAATAAAGAAATGATATGCTAACCTCCGCATAAGTCATGAGTGGCCATTATTAGTAAGTAGCCTTGAGAGCACTTGCGAATAGCTGAGTTCTGAGTAGGCAGAATATTCCTTCCGGGGACTGTGAGTACCTGTGGCACGTTCCTGAGTGCCTGGCATTGCTCTCTGCAGGGCACACAGCGGGGGGAGCAAGTCCCCCCCCCCCACATTTCCATGCATCAGACCTTAAGTCTTTCCAGGCTCCAGCCTTTGAAACTTAGGAAAACATTATCATCCACCCAGCAATCAAATCAGTGGAAACCTCAGAAGGCAGGTTTCTGAAAGAATCACCTGCGTTCTCTCCCCTCTCTTCTCTCTTCCTTTCTTCTCTCTTTCTCCCCTTTCTTTCATCTCCCTTGTTCTCACCCCTCTCTTCTGTCTCTATTTCCTCTCCTCTTCCCCATTTCTTTCCCCCTTCTCTCTCTCTTTCCCTCTCCTTTCCGTCTCTTTCTCTCAAGTCAGCTTACCCTCCTTCACTTTCTTTCTCTCTGACCTTTCTCTGTCTCTCTTCTATTTCCCATTTACATATTTTTCTCTTTCTTTATTATTTTTTATTATAAAGTTGTGGGGTACAATTCAGGGTTAGGTATACAAACGTTGATCATGCAGGTGCCTTTGTTGACGAGGTGTGCCCTTCCCTCCCCTGGCAGTTTCCCTCAACTGCCAATCCCACCCAAACAGTTTAAGTCTTTTTTTTTTTTTTTTAGTTGGAGTCTCGCTCTGTCACCCAGGCTGGAGGGTAGTGGCATGCTCCTGGCCACTGCAGCCTCGACCTGCTGGCCTCCTGTGATCCTTCTGCCTCAGCCTTCCAAGTAGGCAAAACCACAGGCGCGCGCCACCACGCCCGGCTAATATTTTATTTATTGTAGAGATGAGGTCTCTCCAAGTTGCCTGGTGGGTCTCAAACCCGTGGGCTCAGGCAATCCTCTTGCCTCAGCCTCCCAAAGTGCTGGGATTACAGGATGAGCAACCAAGCCTGGCCTCTATTTTTTTTTTTTTTGGCAGAAGAAGTCTTATTTTTATGCCTCCAAGTGGAAATTTTATAATGAGTAGCACAATTGCTTACAAAACGAATAAAGGAAATACTTGATTCTATAAATTTAAAATAGCCGGGTTCGGTGGCTCAGCCTGTAATCCCGTGCCTTTGGGAGGCTGAAGTGAGTGGATTGCCTGAGCCCGCGGGCTCAAGACCCGCCTGGGCAGCGAGACTTCATCTCTACAATAAATCAAAAATCAGCCGGGTGTGGTAGGCGCATGCCTGTAATTCCGGCTACTCGGAAGGCTGAGGTGGAAGGATCGCCGGAGCCCAGCAGGTCGAGGCTGCAGTGGCCGGGAGCTGCCACTGCACTCCAGTCTGGGCGACCGAGTGAGACTCCAACTCCAAAAAAAAAAAATTTAATATAATTATTTTATTCATAAAGCAAAGTGTTATAAATTGCATATTTCTTGCAAACAGAAATAGATTAGATTCAGAAGGCTGCTCTGGATGTGAAGACCAGGGCCCAAAGCTGTGACTCCTTACTCTCCCACCGTGAGCTCTCAGCTGGTTGCAGAGAGACGCCAAGCAAGACCCTTCCTGGGGGAGGGATCACAGTTTGATGGAGAAGGAGACCCATCCCCCGGGGCAATTGCTACACAGTGTGGAATTTTGTCAAGTTTTGTCAATTTTGTCAAATACACAGTGTGGAATTGTCAAGAGTGCCTGACCCAGGGTAGATCCCCAAAGACGCTTCAGCCTGCAGTCTGGTAACCCACTTTTCACTGCTACAGGAGCCCAAGATCACCACATGCAAACGGCCTTCTGGCATCACCTCTTTCCCGCTGCTGGCCAAATCCCCCTCCTCCCACCCCCAGCAACCTGGCATCTGAAAAAAAACAAAGGATCTGCTTTGGACATACCCTAAAAATAAATGAAGGAATAAATATGAAAGAATCAGCCGTTGTGACGTCTTCCTTTCTTCAGCCTTTGTTTCATTTTCTGGAGGTCAGAAATAGAGACGTGTGTGTGCCCGCTCCAGCAGCCTAGACATCACAGCTGGAAGGAAAGTGGCCAGCCAGGCCACAAAAACTTGAGAAGTGCTCCCTATTTTAAAACAAAATGCAATAAACAGAGGTGTGTGAATTCAGACCCTGATCCAAGTAGAATCCTCCAATCCCTGTTCAAAACTATCTCCCTACCACCTAACCCCCTGTAAGAATGGTCATCATTAATAAAACAAATGACAACAGATGCTGGCGAGGATGTGGAGAAAAAGGAACGCTTCTACACGGCTGGCGGGAATGCAGACTAGTACAACCTCTTTGGAAGACAGTGTGGCAATTTCTGAAAACTAGAAATTGACCTTCCATATGACCCAGCAATTCCCCTGTTGGGAATATACCTGAAAGAACTCAGATTATTTTACAAAAAAGATACCTGCACAGGCATGTTTGTTGCAGCTCTATTCACAATAGCAAAAACTTGGAAGCAACCATTTTGCCCATC